AAAAAAAAAAAAGGAGACTAAAGAGGCAGGAAATATAAAGCCAGAGCTAGATCACAGCTGAAGACAAGAATGTTAAAAAAAGCAAGCAAGCACAGAATAAAATACTGTGACATAAATACAGCCTACATGAAGTCAGAAAGTGAGAAAGGAACAGTTTGAATCTTCCTAAACAGTGCCAGTGTTGGCGTTTCCCAGCAGCTTTCCACCCTGAACTGGAACACAATCACAAACTTGCACCTGACCAGACAGTGACTTAACTTGTGTTCATGAGGAAATTCATCATACAGGAATCACAAAACCTGTTTAGGTCTCCAAAGCCTGAAATCAGTGTATGGTTATCAGCTGTCTGTTGTTCTCATTGCTTCAAGGAGCCACACTGCTGATACCACACGATATCATTTGTCCACAAATTCTCAATCTAGGACTTTTTTTTTTTCCTTCTGTGATACTGTGTTATGAGGCCCCCCTCAGCGATGATTATAGCAAGACAGGGTTAGAAAGAAACTACAGGTGTGGCAATGGGATATTTCCACCCGGCTGGACCTTACTCCAACTCCTGCACAACCAAACAGCGGGAGCTGTTGATTACAAGCAGTCATTAGCCACTCTCCCTGTACGACATGCCCAAGCCACTGCTCGTCTAACCTGCTTTGAAATTGGAAGCACTGATGGCATCTTCATCAGCGCCCCAGGTCATTTCTTCCTGGCGTGCTGCCATCCTGAGCTACTGCAACGTTTTTCCTAATACCTAAACCTAATTTCTCCTGCTGCATTTTCAATTCCTTATTCCCTTCCTACCTTCCAGGGTGTACCTTGTGCCTGTTTGCAGTGGCCTTCTGCATCCCTGACAGCTGTTACTGAGTCTATCTTTAGCCTTCTCTTCCTCACAAATTCTTTCAGTCCTTCTGGTTTCCAAGACACATCTAAGACCCATTTGCTCAGAGATTTTGTGGGAGGTAGGACAAGCAAAAATTGCATGCATAAAGCTCAAGCTGGAGCGTGAACAACTGTTCTTGCAGAAGGGTTAGGCACTGAACGAGAGCAACCTCCTACACCTAGAGGCAGGAACACCAACACCCTCAAACTGGGCAGAAGCCACCAGGCAGTCCCCTCTTCATCTCATTATCTATTTTTATATCTTTGTGTAATACAGATATTTCTTTTTAGTACATTATTTACCGCTTGATGGTAGATTTAACAAATTTCCTGTTCAAAGATAGGGCTAATATAAACACTATCTCCTGCTGGCTTCCTTAACTGAAACTGTGCAAGCGTGAAGACTGCGAGAGGAGCTCCAACATTTTTATCCTGTTAACTTTTGCCCCTTGCTCTTTTGTTTTAAGTGGGAGGGGGATCTTGTTTTTCTTTTGAAGATTTATGGCATAAGCATATGATTAGATCTAGCACGTATGTGTAAAGCCACTTGGAAACGTTTCAAAATTTAATTCGTCTACGCTCTTAATTTATCTTCTCGCTCAGAAAAGCATTTTTGGACTTGTGCATGGGTCTTATTTTTGAGAAAAGCACACAGCTTTAATTAGCTTACCTCACGCTTTAGCCCAAGACACTAACCTGTGCAGAGCACAGCGATGCTGCGAGGCTCATTAGCTCATTTCTGTAGAGGATCACAGGAGAAAAACCGCCCGGTAAGAGGGCAATGAAGTGGAAGTGCCCGTGACGGTAGCCTGTAGCCTGTAGCTCTCCAGCAAGGCGGTAATTTGGCTCGGAGAGGCTCGGACAAGCCTACCACACTGACCGAGAGAGAAGTCTTAACGGGAATGCAACAGTAAATGAGCAGCCTTCTCTCTCGATTCCCTATTGGAGGATTTATAAGCACTGACTATGTATTAATGTAACGGTTTGGTTCTAATCCAACAGCATTTGGTAATTCCGATTCGGAGATTTGCTCTAATTAGATTCTACTTTGACAGTGCTGTTTAATTCTAGTTTGATTGAATTTATAACGGCTTTAATCTTAGTAATATATTCCTTTTTTTCTCTTTTTAGATTTAATCGAAGTATTGAAGCATGGCAAGTCAAATTTCCAACAACATACAACATGTGACAGAAAATTCTGATTTGGTGGGTTTTTGATAGAATGTGTCATACATTACAAGCTATGGCAGGTCACTGGAAATTAACTTGATCGGCCAATACACTAAGGACACCGGCGAGCCCTTTAACTCATCTTTTATTTCTCACACTGTGGACATTAAATAGCCCAAGAAACTACAAGCAAAGCTAAAAGCARGATGAAGGGCAAAATAAAAAGAGGCAATAATTATAAAAAAGGGATGGAAACACGCTAACATCTTTGCAGCAAATCAGGCTGCACCGAGTACAGCTGAACACCATATGTAGGTGCTTAGCTAAGCGGCAGCAGTGGGCGGCCAGCAAACTGATGCCTCAGTGCAAGTCCTCTCCTTAGTCTAAGGCTCCTCACGGCCTGAAGCGGGCGCTGAGGGCGCTTGCTGCCCGCGGCCGCTCCAGCCTGCGCTCCGTGTCAGCTCCTGCTGCTCCTGCTGCTCCGGAGGAGGAGGGAGGCGGCGCTGGGGGCAGCGCTGGTGGCCGTGGGGCGCTCACGAGGCGCCTTCCCCCGAAGCCTTCGGCCCCATCCTCCTCAGCCCCGCGTCTCCTCCTCATTCTAGCGCTCCCAGGGGAAGGCAGGATGGGAAATCTTTCATCCCTGGATTGTTCTTTAATGAGGTATCTGCATCTCTCTCTGTATTTTAATCCATTTCATATCCCTCCTGTTCCTGCACSATCCTGGGGGGAACTAGAGCTCGGCTAGTTTTCAGGAGACTGCTGCCTAGAAAGGAAATGAGATTCCGAGCTACTGCTCAGGCCTGTAAGCACTGAGGTACTTATCCTTCCACAGGAGAAGTTTYGATCTGATTAAAAAAAGAAATCAAAGAAAAGAGGAAAAAGGAAGGATTTTGAAAACCTGACTCACTGCTCTGCTATTTCTCATTTCTATCAATTACAAGTATTTGTTTAAGGTTCGCAGCTGCAGATGGGACTGGATCACTAACCCTGATTTTCAGGCTGCAGCGAAGGAAAGCAGGAATAGCAAAGCAAGTTGGAGTGAAGAAAAAGCACTAACTAGGCAAGCTCTCTGCTAGAGATACGTTGATCACCATTTTCTTAAAACATTMATCACAAAAGTCTTGAAATAACAAGGTTCTTTCTTGCTTGTGAAAATTTTCCCCTTTCAGTCCCAAAATATAGAGAGAAAAGCAGATTTTTAAATGGCAGAAGCAATTAAACCCAAGCAATTAATCCTTCACTATTTTATGTGCCAGGTTTGCACATAACCTTGCACTAGCGCTGCAGGTGAGCGCCTCAAGCTGAGCTCCTGTCACTGCACCAGGGCCTGCAGACCTGCTCCTCTCACCGAGCCCACCAGTGGAGCTCTGGAGGGCCCCAAGGCTGCTGCAACCTGAGCCTGCTCCGCAAGGATGCAAAGCACAAAGGGGGCTTCAGGGAGGAGAGGCGGCCTGCAGGGCTTCGCGGGCTTTGCTTAGCTTGAAAAGGTTTCATTTAGAAGCCTAGCAAGGCAGAAAAGCAGAGCTTCCAACACCAGCCCTCGCCTAGGGAACCACTCCTGAAGGAGCAGACTTGGCCAAGCAAACTCCACCCTAGAGCCTGGGGAAATCCCACCTTGTCAGAGAGCATCCCAAGCCGTAGAGAAAACGGGCAGGACCAGCAAACCAAGTGATACCGATGGAGAGGAAAGCAGGTGCTGAACCCAGGTGGGCACATGATGACACCCCTGCACGGGCCCACGTCCCTGTGGCCACTGCCCGCGGAGCGGGTGCTGCCCGAGCCTGGCCCTGCCACGGGACGGTGGGGATGGAGCCCTCGGCTCCCTCCGGGCATCACTTCCCCTCCAGGCTCTGCATCCCTCCTGGGCTCCGTGTTCCTCCCGGACTCCGTGTCCCGGCGCAACGGGGCTTTCTTAGCGTTGGGGGTGAAACTCTGCACACAAAACACCGGTGCTGACGGGCTCGGCCGCGCTTCAGGCAGTGTCACCTACAGAGGTGACGCGTCTCTGCTTTCGCTGCTGTTAGTGCAGGCTCTCTGCTAAGGGGAGCCAGGGCTGTGTCCATTGACGTTTTGCTGGGATATTTTTCCAGAAGCCTTTGCAAACTCACGATACCGTAACTCGTGCGGSTGATGCTGCGTATGACGCAGGAGCACAAAGCCCCGATTCACTCAGATACCCGAAGCAGAGGCAGCTGTAGAGAACACGACCCGGCCACAGCGGGACTTGTCCTTCCCGCACCAGCCCGGCTTCAGGGCATTAGTTTCCACTCGAAGCGCAYGCACAGACCCACAGTGCCCCCGCTCACTAACAGGAGCCGAGCGGGACCCCCGCACAGCAGCCCCTCCAGCTCAGCCCCAGGATGGGTTTCTCAGCCTCAGAAACTGTGGTTCTCACCCGCGTACGGGGGC